GGGGAGGTTCAGATGATGTTGGGAGAAATGAGACCAACATGGGTATCCGTGCGCCGAATGACTTTGTAAGTTCACATGAACATACTAATGTTATTGTGGTAAATGTTCCCCATAGACATGATCTTGTGCCTAACTTGTGTGTAAATCATGAAGTTAAAGTGTTTAAAAGAAAACTAGGGAGACAGAGAAAGATGCATAAAAATTTGTCAGTGATAACTTTGGACTTAAGGATTTATATACAAGGCACAGGTTTCAATTAAATGCTAAAGGAGCAAACAGCAAATAGAGTTGCCTCATTGATAAAGGACTTGTTCCATGTAAATAAGGTGTTACTAATAGCCTTAAAATGGAAAGATAAGGAGGATAGGAATAAGTTATTCAAGTGTAAATAAACATGCTGGGTGTCCAAGAAGTCAAGGTGATTGCTGTGAAGACAAGGTTCTATTACAAATAGTGAATCTGGTGACCATATAAAAGTTATGAGGTCAGTAAGTTAAGTGGGGATAATCGTGTTCAGGCAGTTCAGGAATTTCAGGAGATTAAATAAGGAAGGCATACAAGAAGATATAAATAGTGAAACAGAAGATCAAAAAATAACTGAAGAGGACACAGTGCAGCAAGAAAAGACTGGTTTACTATCTAAGAGAACTAGATGTCAACCTTCAAAAAGAAACAAGGAATTTTATGGTAAATCCCCCACAAGAAACTGTCTTTTCTTCGAGGAGAGGAAGATCTGTTTAAATACCATATGTGAGTATTCCACATCATAATGTCCAAGGTTTGGGAAATAAATTATTGGACTTGAATGCACTGCTCAAATCATGGGTATCAAAGACCGATATTTTATATTTTTTCTGAACATTGGCTACAAAAAAATCAAATTTTACATATAAATATTGAACATTATAACTGCCAGATAGTTTCTACAGGTGAAAAGGTAAGCATGGGGGTTCATGTGTATTTGTTTCTAGTGGCGTATTGGCTCTATGCAGGAACTGTTGAGCCACAGAGGTCTCGGGGCACGCGCGCAAAGTGAGAGTTGCAGATTGTATCAGCACGTTGCTAGGCGACAACTCTGTGAATGCTTAGATTGCGCAACAGGAAGTGCGAGTGACATCACCTACCCCACTCATCATGTAACTATGCAACGCTCGGTAAACACCCCTCCCCACTAGGCTGTGACATCATGCAGCAAGGGAGTCCGTGCAGAGACTATTGCTAGGCAATCGGTAAACGCGATGTCGTGCAACAGTGGTAGCTGTCACGTAACTGTTTTCTGTGTTGTCAGTGCGGAAGCTACGTAACGAGAATTCGTCAGTGTTGAACGCCAGAGAGTTACTAGTATTCAGAGCAGTATTCAGTATGAGTTGAAGTCCAGCAGCTACGAGTTGTTTTGAGTTGTATCGAGTGAATGGAAGTGACTACAGCAGCAGAAGTAATTGTGATACTGCAGATGGCAGTAATTGTGAAATTGTAAATTGTGTAAGTGTAAGAGTGAGTGTACAGTAAATTCGCTAGATCCAAACTGGTGTGAAATTCTTTGTCACGTGACAATATGTTAGGGATGTAATCTTTTTAAAGAATTTAGGAAGGGAAGAAGAACTTGAAATATCAGCTACTGAATTAGTTGATTTTAGAATTATAGTAATTTGTATATATAGATCTCCTCAGAATTATGTAAAAATCTTTCTAAGAATATTGAATGAAATTATGAGTAAGGTAATGAAAAAGGGATGCTTTTGCTTGATATGTGGCTATTGGAATATTAACCTATTACAAAAAAATGTTAATCAAAAAGCTTTATTAAGTTTATTGTTGTCAAACAATGTATTAAATATGGTTGCATGTCCAACGAGACTTACAACAAACTCAAGCAATCTAATTGATGTAATGATTAAAAATAAGATATTTTATCATACCACAATAAAGGTAGATAACTTGGGTAGCAAACCATTTTGCTGAGGTTATGAACATGGCTGTTACCTTTGTTTATTCAGGGAAAACTGTAAGAAGAGTCTTCTCAAAAAGAAATATAGAAATATTTAACAGTCAGTTATAAATGAAGTATGGGAAGATGTTTACTTACAAACAGATGTAAATAGAGCATACAGTTCCTTTTTAACTAAGTATGTCAAGTATTTTGTAAATATCTTTCCCGTAAAATATTCTAAAAAAAGAAGAGTGACAAATCAGGAAGGTTAACAAAAGGATAAAGGTATCAGGACAGAGCCTATGATTGTTACATTTGTTAAAGAAAAAGATGTCTTTGTCCAGTAAAGCATTAAACTGTATAAAGAAATATAAAATTACTTATAAGAAAGTGATGTCAGAAGCATGGAAAAGAGAAAACAACAATTATTTCAAGGTCAATAAGCCAAACCAAGGCATCATGGCAAATAATAAAAAGGAATTGGAATTATCAAAAAACAAATCAAAACATTTCTTTAAAAGTAGGCTGCATGATAGTTACAAATCCAGAATACATACTTCATCAAAGTAATGCTTTTTTGTAGAAAATGTGAGTAGGATGTTAAATCAAAATAAGGATTGTAAATTTGGTCATCATACTGTTAGTAATAAAATATTAAATTCAAATTCCATGTTTCTTGCACCATTTACTGAAGATGAAATATTAAATGTAACCAGTAAACTAAAAGGTAAATCTTCAGCAAGCTATGATGAAAGATCAGAAAAGCCAGTAAAAGAAGGTATTCAGTTATTAAAAAACCACTAACCTTTATATTTAACATTTCATTATGTTCTGGAACCTTCCCAAATTTGATGAAGATTGCAAAAGTTCAGCCTATTCACAAAAAAGGAGGGAAACAAGAAATTTCAAATTATAGACGAATTTCAGTTTTGCAAGTTTTTTTTTTTTTTTTAAATTCTTCAAATATTAATCTATAAAAGATTAGTGACCTTCCTAAACAAGCATATGATATCTGAGGCTCCACTGACTTCAGAGAGAAGAAATCTACTAATGCAGCAACACAGACCTTTATAGAAGATATCCAGAAAGCATTAGATAGTAAGCTGTTAGTTACGGGCATATTCTTAGATTTAACTAAGGCCCTTGTTGTAATAAATCATAAACTACTTCTTACTGAATTGGAGCAGTATTGACTTAGAAGAAAAACATACCCATGGATTAGTTCATATCTTACAATTAGAACTCAATTTGCAGAAATACAGCAATTAGATGAGAAGACCTCAAATATAAAGGTGTATACTTTGTCATGTAAAGAAATAAAATATGGTGTACCTCAAGGTTCTGTTTTGGGACCCATTTTCTTCTTGTTATTTATAAATGATTTGCCCCAAACTATTCAAGATGCTAAGGTGGTGGTGTTTGTGGATGACACAATTATATTGCTCACTGAGAAAAATGTCATATCTTTAAAAAGCGAAATTATAGATGTTATGAAATAATTAGAAAATTGGTTCTTGACAAATATTCTTATAATAAATATGAAAAAGATCAAAGCATTACTATTTCAGGGAAGAGGATCTAGTTTAATTCATAGACCTGTTCTGTATATAAATAACACAGAAATAACCTATTTAACAAATTTAAAATTTGTAGGTATTTATATCACAGAGAACAACTTAAGCTGCGCCACTCATATGCAATATTTTGTCAAAAAGTAAACAAAGCTCTTTATTTGTTTAAATCCTTATGCAACTCAGTAAGTATGCCTGTATTAAGAAATGTTTGTTTTACAAAATTTGAATCCATACTAAAATATGGGTAATATTTTTGGGAGGGGAAGTAAATGACAGTAGTGAAGCATCTAAAAAGAAAGGGGGGGAGGTCTGAGACTTGTTAAAGGTGTTAAAAACAAGGTGTCTTGTAGAAGCTTAGTGGTTTTATGTGTCCAATTATGCAACACTGCTCGTTGTAAAAAAGTGTAATTAACATGGGAATAAAAATACATAACTTACCCTCCAAATTAAAAAGTATATAAAATTCTAAGGTTTTTAAAAATAAGTAATTTATTACAAAACTGTTTCTGTTCTCTGCAAGAGTTTTTTAATAACAATGATAGAGAGTAATCTAGTAATTCGAGTTAGTTTCGATATGATATGGAAGTATATAGAGGTCTTTGGACTGTTATCTTCACTGAATGTGTAACGTTTTGTTTTACATGGATGACTTGTATCTTTGATGGTTTGAGTATATTTATTGCTTTATACTGAATTGCTGGAAGTTGTTATCCATGGTTAGTAAGCTATGGCAAGGGGATATTGATCAAACAGGGACTCCATTGTACATTTTCTTGTATATTTTTTTTTGAAGAGTTGTTGACATATAGTGTCTGGTTGTTTCCAGCTGTCTTATCCAGTTGTGCTTGTGTAATAATTATGGTTGTTAAATACATTGTTATTATTTGGATTTTGTGTTAGCGCACAAGTAAGAATTAATTGAGTTATTATTATTACTAACATCAGTGTATGTGTGTGTACATTTATTGTGCTTTCTCGCCACATAACGGCATAATCATTCAACATTTACTTATTTTATTTTTCTCACCTGTCAATGCTAACTTTAATTTTTATTGGAATTATTATTAATTTATTGTCCTTATATATACTGTCATATTTTGTATTTTGTTCTTTAATTATTTTTGTGTATTTCTATATACTCATGCTAACTTTGTAATTAGCCTCTGTGCTGTTTAGTTTGCACGTAAATAAATACAGATTGAATTGAATTAAACTGGTTATTCCTTGAACAATGCCTTTGAACTTAGAATATAAACAGGGAACACGACGTGCCATATAATAATATGGATCATTCCATCTAAGGACTGCGGCTCGGCTTATATAATTTCAAATTCATATGAAATGTAAAATTATAAAATGAGAATGTAGTAGTTTATTATATGTACATTTGAGCTGATAAGCTGTGTTGCTTGTGTAAGTGATTATCATGATGTGACAGTGTTTGGAACCAGAGTTGAGGAAGGTATGGAAGTCAGTAATATATTTATCTTTTACAGGAAAATCTCTGACACCTCTACAGATATGAACAGGGACCGCTCTCCGTCACCCCTTCAGCAACCTCCTTCCCAGGGTTCATATTCTCAAGTAAGCAGAGGTGAAAGGTCTTTATTTAGTTGGACTCCACCACTTTTATCCAGTGTGCAACATGGTAAGCGTTTTGTTACTGTATAGTGTTTCGTACTAACAAAAGAGATCCATACATGATTTTCCAATCACAAGATGTAATTCCATTGTTATAATTTGTAGCAGAGAGAATTTGACAATGCAGACATGGTATAAATTGTATCCCTAAACTTAAATAGCTGCATTTGTTGTTGTTTTTTTTTATAGTGATAATTTTGTGCATGAAATATGGATAAATTATTTACAGTTTTAGTTACGAATGGTTTGAGTGGTTTTATGTTTTAGCACACAGAGAGACGGATACATCAAAACAAGAGCATGACATTGGAGTGGGAAACCAACCTGAAAAAGAAGAACTGAAGCAGAGAAAGGAAAACAGGTAAGTTTGTTCTCATTGCTTTAGTGCCTGGAGATAGTAGCTGATATAACCTACCAATTGTTATCACCTATGGAAAGCTAGATTGTTTAGTATCTCACATTATTTGTCAGGTATAGTATTTTGCACTGGGAGACACTTGTGGCCCTCAGATCAGCATTGGCTTGCAAGGACATTTGTTCGCTTACTCACAGCTTCATTCAGGAAGTCATAGATTATTAATTCATAAAGATTTAATGACTTGATGCCTATAATAGCAAGGTGATGATTATATTATTAGAATATAAGGATTGAATGGCTTTGATATATACTGTAGAATAGCAAGGTGGTGATCTTCAAGGATCACAACATGTGTGTCAGTTGAGTTTATTAACTATGTTAAAAATATTAAAATCTTGTAATATGGCAGCTCCTCCTTCACTTAATCTTCTTAATCATTTGTTAAAAGTACTGAAAACTCATTATATTCCCTATGTCTAAAACATAATTTTTTCTTAAAAGGTGTTCACTAATATTGCAAAACCCATGATAACAAAGAAAGAAAGGTGTTCAAGGAGGGTTCTACAGTATCCTATAAAGTTTCAGAATACTAAACAGAATTTAATATTTTTCTACAAAGAGTGCAGTACTACTATGATTTGAATTGCAAATGACTTTTATTTTAGAGTTACCATTGTTTCTTTCAACTGTTAAAGAGATATTGTTTCACAGTATGTATGATATATTCACTGTTTGCAGTTAAATAAAAGTAAATGCTTAAACGATGTTTAATGTATGCGATCCCCTGGTACTATATCTACTAAAAATTTGTTTTTCATTTTGTTCGTAGCTCAACGGATGACAGAAGTAAGCCTTCGGGATCGTCTTGATTTAATACACGGCGAAGCTGGTGGATTGCTGTATTATCATGTTTCAATTGTATAATTATTTTATTATTGTATGGATGTAGCATATCAGTCAGCACAGAATCTCAAGTCTCCATTGACAGCACATATGCAGATATAACATACTGTTCTAAGAAATTTGTATTATATATTAAATCTACTGATGACATTTGCATGATTACTTTATTGGTAAATTTTTCAGTGCAGAAGTTTAGTTTTCATTAAGTGATTTCAGTCTTAATTTATATTGTTTTCATGTAAACAAAGCCAGAGGTACTCTAGTATAAAGTTTGCAGTTCATGATTACAAAGGGACAGAAAAATGATGTACAGTACTAACATTTCCTTAGGTTCAGAAATTGCTGCATGTTGGCTAATTGACCCCAACTATTTAGTGCTTTAGTTGTTATAATCAGGTACTTTGACTAATATCAGATGTAACAGATGAACCGCTGCCATTATATTTTCTGCAATAAATTATAATGTATGATCCATTAATGACTTCAGTGAGGGAGCTGTAAATTTATTTTATGTGATAATACAGTGATGTGGGAACATCCCACATATTATCACGCATTTCTGCAACGCTCGCACTCAGGCAACTAACTCTGCAACATTAGTCAACACACTGCAGCTTCCGCCTCTCCACTCCAGTGCGGTCATAGGAGTGATGAGGCGGTAGCTACGCCAGACGCCCAGTGAGTCAGACATGACCGCCGGCTAGCTGAGGCAGCCCAGGGAGTCAGGCATGCCAGCGGAGTGGCGAGGCGGCCACTCCAGTGCTCGGTCTTTGGGAGTCTTCGGCTCTGCGCTGCGCCAGGAAAGGCCGCCTCGCCACTCTGCTGGCATGCCCTACTCACTGGGCTGCCACAGCTAGCTGGCGGTCATGTCCGACTCACTGGGCGTCTGGCGTAGCTCCCGCCTCATCACTCATACAACCGTGCTCACACTCAGGCAACTAACTCCGCAACATTAGTCAACACACTGNAGCGCTGGCGACGAAGTGTGCTGGTGGATGTTGCTTGAGTGAAGATTGATCGTACATTGAAGATGGTGGGTCGGAGCTACTCCTTTTATACGATGCTCAGTGGCGGAACGAAAATTTTCTGAGCGCTGATTGGCTAGCGCACGTAATGATGTAAATGCGGGCTGGCCGCAAGCGCTGTGTAAATGCGAACATTTGAAGCAATGTGATTGGTTAGCGCGCGTGATGGTGAAAAGTGAGCTGAATAGCGAGCGTTGCAGAAATGCGTGATAATATGTGGGATGTTCCCACACGGTCATTACTAAAACATGATTGATCCAGCGATAATATACCACACTGAGCAAAATAATGCATGCTTCATATTTCAGTATACTTTTAACATAACTTCATGTTATTTACCTGTTAAATGTCAAATCCACTATATGAGGTAGTTACATAAAATTGCTACTAGAGCTCATTGTATGAACTTGTTTCTTAATATTAATGAAGAAAGTTACATACTTTGAGTCTCCAGGCAGAGGTAACTATAATATTGTAGAATGTAGACCTATTGCTAAGTAATGACTGCTAGGCAGTAATTGCAGAATAAGCAAATACAGTCAGCTCTCGATTATCCGGGATAATGGTGGGCATGGAAATCATGATTAATCGAAAACCCGGTTAAGACAAATGTTATTAAAAGTAATACTATAATACTGTACCTTCATAATACTATAGGCCTACCTGTATTTAAATTTACTTAACCTCATTTTTATGTCATCTCATGGCCTATTTAATACTTTTTTTACATTATACTGAAGTGTGAATTAGTTATTTGAATCACAGTGTTCAACAGCATCCAACACTTTTTACAAATATTCACACTTAACACTTAAAAAAAATTAATATTGTCGTTTGCTTTTTCGCGGCATTGTCCTTTTAATGGATATCCATACGAAGCCTACGTAATATTAGCTTGTCACTTAATAAACTGTTCTCTTCACTCTCAAGATAGTCTAGTAAGGATTCCAAATGATTAAGAGCAGCACTGTCCACCTCTTCCTCATTCTCACTTTCTTCCTGCTCTTCTGGCTGCACCTCCACTGAACTTACGGTTTCATCACTGCTTAACATTTTGAAGCCCGGCTCACACAAGTTTCTGTTGAATACTTACCACAACACGCTTCCTTTTACACCCTGACATTTTGCTAATGCACTTGAAGATCGATACAAGGAGACCAACTGGGGCAGTGTATCTGTCCTTGAAACTTTCCACAAATCCTTGCATTCTTTCACCCCTACCCTAGATCATTGTGTTAGCATAATGGGACCAAAGAATGCAGAGCTCGATTTACACTAGTGCAAAATAGTGTTACAACTCACCATGTGAAACAAAAGTGAATGAATATTAAACAACATATAAGCCTCAAAAAAGCCCCAGTTAAGCCACAAACCGGTTAATCTGCCCCTGGATAATCGAGAGTTGACTGTATATAGCAACTGTAACTGAGTAATGATTGAACTATAATAGTGAGGAGCGGCATTTTCTACGCGGTCCATGCCAAGGGGTTTTATACAGGACAGGTTTAAAATTCAATCAGTTGTTGGATATTTGCCAGCCAGTAAGGACATTAGTAGAGGACATTGTTAAGGTTCATTGTCAGGAAATGACTAGTGAATGAATGAGAAGACATAACAGCACCTTCTGCAATAGAAATTTCTCAAGAGTTGTTATGCAGAATTTTAGGATTTGGCATGTAGAGTCCTCCCAGAGTACCTAAATAAGAAAAACGTTTCTGACTTGTTGTGAACTTATCTGTACATAACTGGTGACATACTCAATTCAAAACACTTATTTAAATGAAGAATTTATACACTACTTGCAAAATGATGTAAAATTGAAGAAATTCAAGGTATTGTCAAAACTAGGTGTCTGTGAGGTTTGGATTGGCAGTTGGATTTATTGAGCATTTACAAGTTGTAACTACAACTAATGATAACACTATTGTTAATCTACATACACACTTTACAGTTTGTCTTCACTAGCCATTGCTAGCTTATGGCTCAGCTTCCGTGTTCAGTGGCTCCTGTCCTTGCTAGCTGGCAACTGTCTCACACCTAACCCATTGCTCCAACTGACAGCTTCCAAGCCACCACTGCTAACAAAGTAAAAGTTATTTTATGACTTGCGGCTTACTGCCAATCAGTTCATCTTAGCACCAAGACCCATGAGACTCATGACCAGATTTTTTTTCAACTGAACCCTTGCAGCCATAGTCCTTATATAAAACATCCTCTCTGACAAGAAGATGGGTTTGTCTCTCATGAATATGCTTGGCCTTTCTTAAAGTGTGCATATCTCACATACAGCATGTTATTGAAAATTCTACCTTTTGCACTATATACAAGTCCTCTGTCAGTACAGGCATTGCAAAAGCAAATCATGCCTATCTCACATATGTTATGCTACAATGGCAGCTTAGTCACTTGCATGGTTGTAGGCTTGACCACCACCAAGTTTAAGCCTTTTATATTTTCACTGCTAACATTTCCTGATGGCTGTCCCTATATAGTCTCAGCATGGATTGTATAAAAACACCAGTTCCAATGGTTCTGCTATTGTATGACTATTAGTTGCTGTGGTTGCATGTTTATTGGATGTTACCAAGCAATGGTCATGTCTTCTGGCTCCATTCTGGCCTTCAGCCCTCATGTCACAGTGTAAAGAGTACTGTCTGTGGGATGTGACATATGGAGTCTGGTAGAAGTTTACTGACTCTTTGGCGGAATGTGCTGCCTCCATCTTCAGGGTCAGAGAGTAAGCAAAGTAGTTAATTGATTGCGTGCTGTGCTTACTCTTCCGCCTTGAAGATGGAGGCTGAATGTCAGTAAATTTCTACCAAACTATGCAGCATCTCATACCAGTTGATGATACTCTTTGTAGTCGATTCAGATCTCACAGTTTAGGGTGATTTTCTTCATGATTTGTTCCATTAGAGAGTTGCTCTACTGCATATGTTTGAAATTTTATCAGAGAGAATGATACAAAATACTTGTATTCCTATCTTCTGTAGACTCTTCATGAGTGGGGACTTTGTGCCATTATCATAAACATATTGTTTTCTCTCTCCACATTATACGGGTATACCTTATAAGTGATGCATTGTATGTTCTTACTTCAAATTGATTCCAAAATATTATTTATTTTCTGGGATTTATTCCAAAATATTAATTTTAAATTATTTTAATAAGTATGTTCATTTTCATAACATATAAGAAACTGTTGTACCATTAGAATGTTGAAAACGGATCAGTGTTGAGTATGTTGTAAATTACATCTTAAAATAGTGAAATATCTTGCTATTCATCCCATATGATATACATGTACACATACAGTAGACTCCCCTATTCAGTATCTCATGATGTAAGAGTTTCTGCCATTTAAGATTTTTTCAGGTCAGTGTTCAAATCCATTGCTCCCCCAAAAAAATCGATAAATGGGTGGTCTCATTGGGGGGGGGTCATGATGAAGCAGAAGGGTTATGCAACATGAGGGCCAAATAATTCAAATATCGTGACCATAAATGTTGGCTGTGAATAATTTCTACATTGTAGTAATTTTTTTAAATTGTTGTTTATTTGGCACCCTCGGTGAATTTGATTATATTTGACTCCCAGTTATATAAAAATTCTTGGATCGAAGAGGATCCTCTTATTCCATTTGACTGTTGTGAACAGAAAATGTTATGTTTCTTTAATCAAAAATGATGCACTGGAAAATGACCAAATATATTTGTCAGTTTAATATCAAACCTTTACCTTAGAGTAACTATATTTGTATGCAGTCACACTAATTAGTAAATTGATTGTCAAAGAATTTGATTTTTATTCACTTGGGGGCTAATTCCTAAAACTGGGAAACTGCTAGGGACTTTTTACTTCAAAACTTGAATTACAAAACGAGGCACATGGCTTATATACTTGCTCAGTTGGCTGTGCTTTGTAATATGATTTCTGTGCTGTGTGTGAAATGCAGTATCACTGGTATTATGTGTGTAAACAGCTGGTTTATTTATTCTATATAGATTAATGAAACTGTATGGACTTTTTGTTTTCTTCTCCATTTAATTTCAGGAGTAGTTTAGTAAAAGATGCATTCATTTAAATGAAAGATACGGGAAATGACAGTTACCCATCTATCAAACTACTTTATACGAATATATATATCGTATATATCGTATATATATATATCGTATATATATATCGTATATCATCCCAGACGATGGTAATCTTAATAGTCACTACCTTCAGAACCTCATATCCGACAGTTTAGATTAATGTACCTTAAAATCACAAGTAGGATGTTGGATATCGATAACCTTTTTGTGTATGGCATTGATTAATGAAATCAGTACAGGCAAAGAAAGATGACTAGCTCATTTTCATTCAATATGAAACTTGCTTTTAAAGTGCATATTTTATTTTCATGCTATAAACATCCACTTGTTATAAATTTAAATGTGTGAAGGTATAAAAGTTGTGGTTTAACATCCACAAGTTTCTTACATTCCTGGACTTTGTTTTTATTTGTATACATAGTACATATTAATAGTAGGCATATTATGTAGGCCATCTCTGCTTAAAAAAATATACTTTCCAAGTCTTGTTATGCTTTATGCTTCTCCTAGTGAATCTGTGATATTAAATTTTGAACTGCTGTTTGTATAATTTATTGTTTTT